TGTAGATGACCGAGATCCTCTGAAATCTCTCCTTTTGCTATTGCTGTGTGCTCAGAATGCAAAATGAATCCTAAATATGGGGAAAGATGAAACACAACCACCTGAACAACTTCCTATTTACACCCTTGAGTTGAGGAGTATAAATTTGGCCCGAAGACAAAACAGAAACCAGTCTGCTTCATATTAGCGATGTTCATGACAGTCAGAAAACAATAGCTTTAGAATAAATGTTCACAAGGATAAAGAACAATGACATCTGGCAGAAGGTGTAGAGAGAGATGATGAAAATTGAGAGAAAGGGATTTAGAGGCATCTAAGAAGTGTAAGGGGAAATCAATGAACTATGTATGTTCAGGAGCATAAGTGGCCCTGATTAAGGGAAAGTAAATTGAAAGATCAATTGAAAACTCTTTCAGTTGTAAGCAACTCACTTCAATGTTTTCAGTATCATCTAGCATCCCCATAAATTTTTCAGAAGGCAGACTCTCATATTATGGTGGTACTTAGACGGAATGTTAGCAGGAATAATTTTCAGGAAACAAAATAAGGACTCAAGGAGAGAGGTCAGAATTCAAATTGCCTCCAGAGCAGGAAGTGAGGAGCCTTGGTGTTGCAGTGGTTAGAGTGCAGCATTGCAGACTAACTCTGCCCACAGCCTAGAGTTTGATCCTGATCGGCTCAAGGTTGACTCATCCTTCCATCCTTCCAAGATGGGTAAAATGAGGACCCAGATTGTTAGGGGAAATCTGCTGACTCTGTAAATTGCTCAGAGATGCTATAAAGCACTATAAGGAGGTATATAAAGTCTAAGTGCTATTGCTATAGTAGCCTAGTAGAAGCTTGCCAGATAGAGAATCAAGCCATCCAATCCAATCCAGCATTCTGTCATTCTGTCATGTAAACCAAATGCATTTAGAAAGAACATTTCTCCACCACTGTTGCTTTCCCGTAGCTGGCATTTGGGGCATGAATACTGAATAGCCATCAAGAAAAAAGAACCCTAAAACTATTCTTCCCTTTATTTAGTCTTAGACATAGAAAATAGGGTTGAAAGGGACCTTGCTCAAGCAGGAAAGCCTATCCTAAACAGACTGGTCTCATCACCTCTCATGTCACAAACTGCAATTCCATGTGTCATGTAAGGCAGTTCTCCTGCTAGTGATTCTGGACCTTGGCTCATTTATTTTCAGGGATAGCCTTGATATCCGATATTGTACACAGGGAAGAAAAAAACTCATCTCTTCTCACATGTTCCAAATTCTGCAAACTATACATCTCTTCATTCAACTTTACTCTCAGATAAAGATCAAGACACTACAATTTTCCCTGACGGGGTAATTAAGGGAGATGTTCTAGCCCTCTAACAATTTTGGTTTCTATATGTTGGACCTTTTTAGTTCCTCCATTATTTTTAAAATGTGCTCACCAGAAATATGATATAATTCAAAAAAAAAAAGGGGGGTGGGGGGTGGAGGGAGATTAATTCTCCAAAACTGGCTGCTTTAATTCTTTTCCTAATAGCCTTGTGCATGGAATTCTCTCAGGCGCAAAGGACCAGGACCATGCATTAAGTTGCAGTTCAAAAAGGATTTACCGCTCAAGGCTATTTATAAGAATCTAATCAACTAAAGTTCAGTTCAAAATTGGTGCCAGATAAGGGTCAGCGGAATTCAAGAGGGGTTGTACTTGGACCATCTGAGGCAACATAATGACTCTAAGCTGATGACGTGCTTAACTCCACCTCCTAGTTCCGTCTCCTCCTACAAATTGATTTTTTTTATAGCAGCTGTACACTGTGTTGATAATTTCATAGATTCGTCTTCACTCCAATTTCAAGATCTCTTTCCTAAACACTCACTGCTATCTCAGCTCCCACAAATATATATGTGAAATTTAGATATTCTTGTGCCCCAACATAAATTACTTTTTGCTTGCTTGCATTGAACTTTATTTCCCATTCTGAGGCCCATTCACTAACTGATCTATTGATGCTGTTTAACAGCTAAAGCTTCTCTTCACTTGTAGCTATAGTGAAAAACCTTTACCTACTAAATTTTCAAGGACTCCTTATAACAGCCTTTGGCAACTTGATAAATCCAGGTTGATAAACCCAACATCCCATCCTGCACAATCAATTGCCATCTGGATGATAAAACCTGGGGCTCCACGAATCTGTAATGGGCCAGGCTAGAAGGAACTGCTAATGAAGGCCATTAATGGAGTTGAGAGGAACATCCATGTAACAAAAAAAAACCCCAATAATAAAATATATTGTAATAAAATATACTATATGCATGTACAGTACATAATATATAAAATTATATACACAAAAACAAAGGTAACAACGGTCCTTAAAAAAAGAGAATATTGGTAGCTCAGGGATGAACTGTAGAGTCCTTGGTGCTCTCTGAACTTGTTTGCTTGCAGATGTTGCATTATCCAACTAGATAACATCATGACTAGCACTGATGACGTTACTTAGAAGGTAATGAAGCATCTGAAGAGAACCACCAAGATAAGAGAGCATCAAGAACTCCGACATTCCTTAAAGCATAATATCAGTAAACAGGACATCTGATTACAAATAACTAGTAAAAGAAGTATTTTCTTTATTCTGTTCTAAGTTGGGTCAGTTGGGTCTGAGTTATATGTGAATTGCCAAACCCAGGTTTGTATTTTAGCACCCCAACTAGGAGATTTCAAGTGCCTCTTCTGAAGGCTGAAATATCAGACCATGTCATCAATAGGGCAATTGCATAGTTGCTCAAACTCACTTTGGCAGTTCTGACCTTTTCAATCTGATTTATTTAGAGTAGGTTTCGCATTCCAACATTTCATTACAGAAATATTTTACCAGTTCCCAAGAACATAATTTAGTCTTAAGAGTTTGTGATGAAAACCGATTACCCATCATTTTCAGCCATATCTTAGCAAAGATACACCTGCATTCAGAATCACTTTCCATAGACATACTGGAAATTATTAAGGTCACTTCAACAGGTTGATGGACCAGGTCATAAAAATATGACCTGCATACAAAAGCATTCAATGCTATTCCTGAAACTTATTGGTTCAGAACACGCCTTGATGTCTTCCAGGTATCTTAGATTTTTAGAATCACGAGCAATGGCTAATCAGGAGATTCCATGAGTTGGGAACAAGACATTAGGAGGAACCAGATTTTATATTTTGAATCAGAAATGGAAAGGCTCACTTGCAATTGAGGTCTTTCCATAAGTTCCTATTTATTTTAACAACATGTGGAATATAGTAAGGTCATAATGATCACTGCAAGATTTCCACAATACAGAGCATTTTTATCTCCTTTCTGCCCCTATAGCTAACTAAACCTTTGCAATAAGATTGGAGATTCTCATGATTTGAAGGCTTGAGCAGCATTAGCTTTAGGCCACTTTCAAAACCTGAAAACTCAAAAGCTAGTCCAAATAACAGAGAGAATAAGAAAAGCAGAGTTGGAAAGAACCTTGGAGTTCTTCTAGTCCAGTGATCGCCAACCAGTGGGCTGGGGACCACTGGTGGTCCGTAAGAAAATTTTGGTGGTCCTTAGAGAAATGCCCCCCCTAAAGCAATTAATCCAGGCTGTGTGGGAACACAAGGCTGTGCCGCCCCCCCCGCTGCTCCCCCCACCCTAACAGGAGGCCAAGCTATCTGCAAACTGTCGAGTGCTCCTTGAGAGAGACAATTTTGCAGATGGCTTGGCTGAACTCCTGTTCCTGGGAGTCAAAGGGCTGAAGCATGAGCGGTGCAGGCGACTTCGGCCGGGTTCCTCGAGCGAAGGCGGAATGCTGATGTCGCGCAAATATAAGTAGCGTGGCGCTTCCGCACCGTCCAGCCATCTCCATTGCCACTTCGGCCCACCTGTGCCGCCGCCCCCCTCTTGCCACAGCAGCACCATTACTTTGTCCTGGCTGGCAAGGGCTGCACTGCTTTTTGCACGTTGCACCACCTACAAATTTGCACATTACACATGCCATCCCCTACAGTGGAGATTTCCAACCCCATCATGGGCCAGTCCCATATTCCAGAGATGCAGTAGTCACAAGACTGGCCCTTTGGTCATCCTGGAGCAGCTCCTCCAGTCCATGGCAGGCCAGTGCACCCGGGTGGAGGAGCAGCTGCTCCGGGATGACCAAAGGGCCAGTCATGTGACTACTGCAGCTCTGGAATAGGGGACTAACTTTCCCACTAATGTCAGCAAGCCACCGTCAGTCAAAATTCATATTAGTGATCTGCGGGATTTAAAATTATGAGTTTGGTGGTCCCTGAGGTCCAAAAGGTTGGTGACCCCTTGTTAGGAATTGATAGTCACCTAACAATTGAGTTGGAAATATATAAACCAGGATAGACATTTAATACTGTCTCTCTAAGGGAATGCTAAAATTGTAATTGGGTGTGGTTCCTCAAACGGCCATAAGATGGAGCCAGAAACCTAGGCTGTTCTGTTTTTGCTAGATGTTCTGATGTTTGATGTTGGTTGGTCTGCATTTTCCCCTATTGACTGTTGCTGATCATCGTTCTTCTTGGATTGCTGTAAGTCTGTTACTGAACTGTGTATGATACTGGACTTTGTTATTTGGATTATCCCTGGACTGAATACTGACTGCTTTAACCGTGTATGACTTGGACTGCTTGTTGGACTTTGCTTAACCATTTACTGGAAGTAAAAACCTACATTTTACTATTCAGTGTATCTGTATGCTGGTCGTGTGTTATTCAGCATCACTCTCACTACGTCTCCCTGTGTGCACTCATTCTCCTAACGGGGAATTACCTCAACACCCCTCTTCTAATCCAACCCTTGCTCAGGCAGGAAATCCTATACCATTTTGACAAATGGTTGTCCAAAACTTCCAGTGTTGGAACATTCATAACTTCTGGAGGTAAGTCGTTATATACAAAGGCAAGGGATAGGGTGAATCAACCTATCAGCCAGACATTACAGTTATCACAAACCAAGATGCCATAATAACTATATATACCTTAGCCAGCATTGCAAGATGTTGATTCTGAACAATGGCAGTACGGTATGTTGCTAATCCTCCTTCCTCCAAGCTTGGGAACAAATAGTACAGGTGGACACTAGAAATAAAGATTAAAAATCACATAATGATCCATATACTCTCTACTTCTTATATATGTTCTTGTCAATAAAATAACCATTCCAATTTTACTTCTATCTGATTTCTGCAGGAGGTAGTATGCATTCCTAAACTCTTGAAACCATTTCAGTATAGTAGAATAAAGCTTTAACTGACAATAGCTTAAAAAAAAAGGGCAGACATCATATGAAAGAGACCTCTGTGATGCAATTCTTTCCTAATTTATTTATTTAGTAAATTTACAATCACCCATCTCATATACATATCTCTTGATGGATCACAACTAAAAGAGAACAAGAAACAAAGTCATCCAGAGTTTTTTTTTTTTTAAAGCAATGAAATACCATAAAAATAGCAACTGAGAAGACTCTCAGCCATTCAAACAAACCATGATAGGGGCCCACCCTTACTATCAGGACCCCAACTCAGTGGTAAAGACAGCTTTTTAAAAGCTTTTTTTTTTTTTGTAAAGGATCAGAATGTGGGCGAGATTCCAGAGGTGGGCACTACAGCAGGAAAAAAGTGTCCTCCAGATAGAGGACATTTTCTTACCACTGGGAACCGAAGCAGGCCTTTCCTACCAGATCTAACAGGATGGGTAGACCTGAAGAGAGAGATCTCCATAAGTAACTCAGCCCCAACCTAAAATAACTAACAACACCTTGAATTCGCACAGAGCAGAGGTGACATAACCCAAATATCTAGCACCGGGTGAAACTTCCAAATACTCTTCAAGGGCAGCCCCATGTAGACCACTTTGCAGTAATTCATTTGGGACTAGCGCATGGGTGATTGTGAACGCCTCCCCTCCCCCAGTCCAGGAATGGCTGCAACAGGCATACGATACCAAACTGGACAAAAAGGCCCCACTTGCCATGGCTGCTACCTGCTCATCAAGCAGGAGCTGTGAGAACAGAAGGGCCCTCAGAAAGCCCAGACGATCTGCCCAGGGCACAGCAACCCAATCTATAACAAGACATGGAAGTTCCAAAGGCTGCTAAAACACAAAGCTATTTGATCTTACTAAGATGGAGCCGAGGCCTATTGTTCCTTATCCAAGCCCTAGCTTCCAGACACCAGGACAGGACCTTTACTGCCAGAGCAGAGATATATAGTTGGGTATTATCTGGATATTTATGACACTCCTCCCTTAACCAATGAATAGCTTAACCCAGCAACTTCCTGTAACCAATTAAAAAAAGATACGAGAGAGCCTCGAGCCTATAGCACTCCACAGCAGAGGCCACTGGATGACCATTCTTCCTCTATAGACATTGACTGGAAGCAGCCTTGGAAAACCAACACAGCACCCCGCTGCCCACTCCTAATCCTTGCAACCAATCCAGAAGGATGCCATGATCAATGGTATTTAATTCCTGCTCCCTCTCTTTCTGATGAAGCAAGTACAAAAACAGGTCGCGCATTTGGTGTTTTCATCCAACACTGAAGGATTAGAAGCCACAGGGAAGTAGTTTTCATACCATTTATTCCAGTAAAGTAAGAAAAAGGGTTTCTCTGCTTACTTTTTCATACTTTGTACTGTCAATAAAACATGAATCTAGGTAGGTAGGTAGGTAGACAGGTAGGAAGAAAAAGGAAGGAAGGAAGGAAGGAAGGAAGGAAGGAAGGAAGGAAGGAAG